CCCCATTGCCATTTCCATGTAAAACAGCGGCAAACCGCCCACAATGAGGAACAGTACATACGGAATGAGAAAAGCTCCTGTAAATAATAGCAGTAGTTTAAATATGCATATTTCATTAATGCTATTATATAAAAGAATTTCGTGACGTTTTCAGGAAGTAAATTATTTACACAGACGAAATGTTTTAAACCATATCAAACTGTATAGTTTATGAAAGTTCATAATTCATAAAAATGATTTTACGTTAGATAAAACCTTTATGTGGTCACGTGACTGCTAAGTACATCAATATTTTATTGAAGATTCAGATGAATACTGTGAAGAGTGTAAACATTTTACCAAAATGATATCTTGAAAAATATAGACATAAGTAACAGCGATTTTGTCTAACTTATTTTTTTAGATGTATATTTTTGCATTTTCATCGGAATATGTTGTTCATTTTTATATTCAGATAGTGAAAGTTATTGTTTATATGGTTGCATTTTATGGAATTTTCTGTGACCAATGTTTAGACATCAATTAAAAGATGATATTTCATTTATAAGTTAGCGATTTATTAATTATTTAAAATACATGCAAATATGCAAATTACAACAATGGTAACCATGGGTATACCTATGGAGTCCATAAATTATGAAATGTACATTTTAAATAACATGTGCCAAAAACTCGTTGTATTTTTTTTCTGAACTTAGGAAAATAAATTTAGTTTATTTTAGCGCGTAGAACGCAGAGAGCGGACTGTTCAGTACATTGTGATAACCTGTGGTAGATTGTACAGCAAAAAGATCCGTGTTGTCCCACTGTTGCCATAACAACCGCTCACGGCTAGACACGTTCAATTATACGTTTAACCCTGGTGTGACGTCATCGGATGCTATCTTCGACACATATGGGAGCTAGGAATTTGAATTACACAACGGATAATTTGGTTTGTGGATTGTCGAACTCATTAAGCGGAGTCAGACAGAAGGGGAGAAATTGAGTAATGCGTCAGAGGTTACAGTTTACGATAGCGCAGTGCAAAGTGTTTTGCCACAGAATGTTTGTATTATGCAATGTGTTGTTAATTAATTAATTAGAAATTAACCATAACAACTTTGGTAGTGGACATGGTAGAAAAACTGTGTAAATCATTTGTTCCTTCACTTGGTTTTGAGATTTACTGTGTTTTACATGTTTTTTTTTTAGAAAAGTTTTTCCTGTAAATTCTTCAACATTTTCCGCAGATATCAACATCAAAGTCTATCATTCATCGGGTTTTTATCATTCCTTCAGTTGTTTTTCTACTTTTATTCACATCAAGTCTAGTCCAACCGAGAGCATGGGACCTAGGTCACCCAGTAGCACCGTTAAAACAAAGTTTATCGTGTATACACTGCACGAGTCGTGATTTTATATCACGTGGTTATACGATGTTTGACTTCAAATATGACGTCATGTTATTGTGCCATGAGCAAAGCTCCGCACATAAATCATGTTTACTCTTTCTATAATAACAACAACCAAGTGCACAATAGCATTTGATGACCTTCTCACGACCTACAAAAGAACGTGGCAGACATGAAAATCAACGAAACTGTTAATGCTGTATTGTAAGAAACATTATTCTTGCTGAAGATAAGTATCAATATTGTTAAGTGTTTTCGCATTGCAATGGTTTGATGATGGGACTGATACTCAGTGTATATTGGATATCTAACGAAAACATTGTGTAAGTCATACGAAGTCAAACAATGCCACTGAATCAACTACCTACGCATACTTTCCAATGGTGGAATACTAGACACACTGTGTACTCTCTTCAAACTCTTTTATAGGCAAGTAAAATGCGATACAAAAAAACAAACAAAAACAAACATTGGTGTTTTAGGCGAGAGTTAATAATGCTTATGAATGTATATTTGGGAGATTTACAGTGAATTTAAAAAAAAAGATTTATTTAAAACATGTGAGATTCAGGGAATTATGTAAATTTTGATAATTGGTGGTTTTATACTTTCTTTCAATTCGTCATCTTTATGCTTGAAATAATCTAGACGCTTCCTGTGTATATTGTTGGGTTCAAATTTTTTATTATGTTTGGTGTGAATGCATGTTTAATAAATATTGTCAACGATGCTTAACTCACGCGATATTTTTTTTGTATTTTACGATATTTGTCAAAAATGATAAAAATTACAGTTACCGACCTCGTTTTTGAATAAGTGTTTGTTTAGTTTATGCACATGGTTCGGTTAAAGGGCCATTTACGCGCCATTATTTTTATTCTTGCCGTTTTTTTAAATTCGTATGCCATTGAGCCAAAGTAACCTTTGATCTATGTAGTATCGAATGTAAGCACACATAGTGGAAAGATAAAACATCACGGATAAACAGCATTTAGACATTTGAAAGATTCATTTTGTTCGAGAACAAAATGATTACCGGCTATCTTCATAACATTAGCCCAATTCTAAGCCATATGACCTGACATATTAACCCCGTGTTTATTCATGGGATGCAACAATGTTTCATTTTGTCAGATTGTGCCAAATAATATGACCTCTCGTGACAATTTAATTTAAACGTCGTCAAAGCAAATTTGGACAATCCATTGAAAACATAGGGTCATGAGCACAAACATATATAATTTCCATTATTACGTAACATTATATGCATTACATTTGACGGGGAAAACATTAATATAGGCTCGTTTGAATGATATTTTAATGAGTTTTTACGAATTTCAACGGTTTTTTACTCTATCAAAATAGTTCAGACACACCAAAAGAAAAAAAATATTTAAATTGTTTTGAAACTGAATACATGATTATGATGTTGAACGAACTTAGTACAATAGTTGTAGTGTGTGGTCTTCGAATTGACATATACAACATTTCTTTACACTACGTCTACAATTATATATAAAACCAAGTATACTCACCACCACCATTTTTATAGCAATAATATGGAAAACGCCAGACATTGGCCAGATCTACGGCAAAGCCTATCACAGAAAGCAAAAAGTCAAGTTTAGTTCCCCACGTTTCTCTTCCATCGTCCGGTTTATCGTCCTCCAGTGGTGCCTTGCCATTCACATCTGAAACGATTGGTGAATTTACATTGCGTGAATTTTTCTTTTTAAACTTTGAAAGCATCGACGACAGCCAAGATTGTTTTTTCTCTGGTTCAACTGCCGGCTTGGCTATCGAGTCAGTATTAGAATTCATATCGTGTAGCGGAACCTCGGCAGCATAGTTGTAGTGCGCTCCTGTACTGTCCGGTGTACGTGAGCGACCTGTACGACTATAATCCATGGCTGTTAACTCCACTCTGTCGGCCTTGTCAGTCATCGTGACGTCATCAATGCTGCTGTATCTAGAATAGTAAAAGTGTTCTTATTACAAGTTATTTTAAACTGTGCTTCACGCCACACTGTGTTCGATATAATATGAACGCTGTATGCTGGTAGTGCTTTGGATATTGCGTGTAGAAATGTCCCGATATACGCAAACTGCGTTAATTACAACGGACTTCCTAACAGGCTACAATGATGTAACATCCTTTTCCATTCATGGTATATATGACTTCCAATACCCGAAGTCGTTAGCTATACTTTATTAAGGATTTGCTGCAATAAATTCTTCTTCTATCTAAATTTTTTTGAAATAAATTAAACTGGTTTGTAATCGTTCTTGCACATTCATTTAGTAAACTCAGCCGAAAAAACAGCACAGTTGAAACGACTTCTCATTCTTATACATAGAGACCAATGAACATTTCGCCGAAAAAAAAGAAAAGCATTATTTCTCAAAAACGTATCAATTGTATCACGTCAAACTGCAATATGACACACATACGACTGATATACATGTAGACATTATGACACACATACGACTGATATACATGTAGACATTATGACATATATACGACTGATATACATGTAGGCAATATGACACACATAAGACTGATATACATGTAGGCAATATGACACAAATACGACTGATATACATGTAGACAATATGACACACATACGACTTGTATACATGTAGGCAATATGACACAAATACGACTGATATACATGTAGACATTATGACACACATACGACTGATATACATGTAGACATTATGACACACATACGACTGATATACATGTAGGCAATATGACACACATACGACTGATATACATGTAGGCAATATGACACACATAAGACTGATATACATGTAGACAATATGACATATATACGACTGATATACATGTAGGCAATATGACAGGCATACGACTGATATACATGTAGGCAATATGACACACATAAGACTGATATACATGTAGGCAATATGACATATATACGACTGATATACATGTAGGCAATATGACATATATACGACTGATATACATGTAGACAATATGACATATATACGACTGATATCCATGTAGGCAATATGACATATATACGACTGATATACATGTAGGCAATATGACATATATACGACTGATATACATGTAGGCAATATGACATATATACGACTGATATACATGTAGGCAATATGACATATATACGACTGATATACATGTAGGCAATATGACAGACATACGACTGATATACATGTAGGCAATATGACACACATAAGACTGATATACATGTAGGTAATATGACATCTATACGACTGATATACATGTAGGCAATATGACATATATACGACTGATATACATGTAGGCAATATGACAGACATACGACTGATATACATGTAGGCAATATGACACACATAAGACTGATATACATGTACGTAATATGACATCTATACGACTGATATACATGTAGGCAATATGACACACATAAGACTGATATACATGTAGGCAATATGACACAAATACGACTGATATACATGTACAATATGACATATATTGATAGACACGTTGGAAATATGATATCGAATGTGTGTTTTTCTCCACGCATCATTCATCATATATATATGTATATATATATATATATACTGATTACAAAATGTAATATTACACGTAATATGATAATATATATATCATATTACGTGTAATATTACATTTTGTAATCAGTTTTAGTGCATTCAGTGTAATGCCTTTGATGTTTCCTGCCGAATACTTCATGTATAAACTATTTGGAAGGCGTGTATAGACACAATGTGCCTGTTACAGTCCAATTGCAATAAACATACACCAAACTGTTGGCACCGTTTTGTATTTGAGTCTCCTATTACGTCACGAAGTCATACATTTGTAGACTGCAAAGTAAAGTCGTTTGTGAAGCGCGACACTGAAGTGGTTGTTATCGTCACACAAATAAGTCATGTTTGTCTGTCATTGTACGCGAATACCCTACATTGTTGGCAAAATACAATAATATAGTTTATTCTAGGTCACGTTAATTGTTTTGGTTCATTTAGGTCATTTAGGTACGGCGCTACTCCTCTGTCTGCAAACCGTTCTACTAATCACCTCCAAGGTTACTATACTACGGATTCTGGCACGAGAAGATATCTGGCACTAAATCTAAGCGTTCCCATAGGGATGCAATATTCTTTGTCACAAAAAAAGCGTTTGGGGACAATATTGTGCTTTTTACGCAAAGGTAGCTTACAATGATGCATGACCATGAAAAGAATTTTGAATAATACTGACTGTTTGACAAGTGCGTCACGATGTTACCCACTTCCAATGGGATTGTACGGCGAGTCAAAATCCGTTCGAAAGTTTCAATGAAATTCGAATTCCTATAGCACACATATAAGATCATTTATTTATTAAAGGGTGGTAGTCGTCACGCCACGCATGCGTGAGATATATGGAGTCCCATATAAACAAACATAGCGACTCTGACTGTTGGCATATCAACGAGTACAAACTGAGACGTTACCAATCTTTAATTAGATATTTTTAGGTGATTGGAAGGTATCGAATGAGTCACCGGCGGGAATTGGTGCAAGTCACGCCAAGGTCAAACCTCATACTTGTGATTGCCATTAGAAGAGCGCGATGGATTGTGGGAAAGTCAATGTTTATCAACACAAATGTTGCACATGCGTAGCGCGACGACTGCCGCCCTTTAAAACAGAATGTATAAAAAAGAGGTCAGGTGTATAGAGTGTCCGTGAAATATCATCTGACAAAAGACGATGCATAGTGGTAAAACATCTACTAGACGCTTCTGATAGTCTCTCGTTGTGTATTTATAATATTCACCACCAAGGTGAGTATCATGTATCTGGTCATATCACTCGGAGACCAATATTAACTCGGTTAATTGCTAATATGTAGGTCATGCCGTATTATAAATATCAAGGTACTGTCTCCCATAGCCTGTGATACGTGACAATAATCACTCAACAAGAAGTAGAACAATTAAGAACAAATTTATGTATGAGTTTCAATGTCAGATCATTTGGGGGTCTTGGGAAAAACAAAACATCACCAGGCATTGTTTACGTAGTGAAGGAGTAACACTCCTAACTGCCCTTACGGCAATCGATGACAACGTGACTGGAAATGTGGGAAATAACCACTAATAACACTTGAGTAGTTGTTGTGTTTTATATCGGGTCATAGATAAATAAATAAATAAATAAATAAATAAATAAATAAATAAATAAATAAA